CTTCTGTAGTGATATCACCTCAGAAACCCAAGGAAGGGTCACTATGAGTTGGATCTGACTCGAAGGCAGTACATTTCTTTTCATTTGTACAGTATTTTTGCCCAAAGGAAACCTGGTGGCACAACAGTTAAACACTGGGCTGCTAAACGAAAAGTTGGCAGTTCAAACCCACCAGCCACTGCAGGAGAAGGATATGGCAGTTTGCTTCTGTAAAGATTTATGGCCTTGGGAACCCCATAAGTTTTGCAGTTTAACCCTGTTGCTACAAGTCAGAATTGACTCAATAACAGTGGGTTTCTTTGGCTTTGTGTTTTTGCCCAACATATTAGTTGTGTTTCAACACCACTATGATTGTAAGCCACTTTCACTCTTATAGTCTACTGTAGTGCAGCTGGCCTGGACAGTATTGAAACCCAGGATCACCTGGAACACACTGAGTACATGGTTCCAGCTGAACTAGTTGTTTATCTCTAGTTCTTCATTCTTTTTGGTGGGTATTTGTGTAGTACTTTGAATATTATTTCCCATCAGAATAAGTTATAAAATTGAATGATTCAATAATAAAAAAATGAATAATTCAGCAAAATATTGGTGAAATTAGTGTAAAAATATCAAACTAGCCATTTGACAGTAAAGTTTAGTAAAATCTGAGAGTTCCAATCTCTTTGTACCCTCTCCAGCATTTGTTGTTTTCTGTGTTTTTTTTTTTTTTTTTCAACTTTGCTATTAATGCTGGGGTGAAATGACCTCTCACTGTTGCTTTTATTTTCATCTCTTTAAGAACTAATGATCACAAGCATTTCTTTATTTGTTTGTTGGCTACTTGGATGTCTTCTTTGGTGAAGTGTCTGTTCATGTCCTCTGCTCATTTTTTTAATTAAATTGTTGGTCTTTTTGTTTTTGTTGTTGTTGAGGTGTTGAATTATTCTATAAATTTCAGAAAGTAGTCCTTTATCCAATATGTCACTGCCAAATTTTTTTCCTAGGCTCTAGGTTCTCTTTTTATTCTTTTAGTGAACACTTTTGATGCACATTAATGTTTAAGTTTTAGAAGGTCCCAATTGTCTAGTTTGTCTTCTTCTGTAATTTGTGAGTCTTTAGTTGTGTTTGGTAGTATATTTATGCCATGTATTAGGGTCGCTAAATTTGTCCCTAATTCTTCTTTGATGATCTTTGTAATTTTAAGTTTTACATTTAGGTCTTTGATCCATCTTGAATTCATTTTTTTATATGATGTGAGATATGAATCCTGTTTCGTTTTTCTGCAAATGGATATTTAGTTTTACAAGGACCATTGGTTAAATATATTATCTCTTCCCCATGTAATGGGTTTTGGCCCTTTGTCAAAAATAAGCTGTGCATAAGTAGATGGATTTACTCCTGGGTTCTCAATTCTGTTCCATTGGTCTTTGTGTCTGCCATTGTACCAATACCAGGCTGTTTTGACTACTGTGCCTGTATAATAGGTTTTGAGATCAGTAAGAATGAGGCCTCCTATTTTGTTCTTTTTCTTTAGTAGTGCTTTGTTTATTGAGAGTCTCTTTCCTTTCTATATAAAGTTGGTGATTAGTTTTACCATCTGTTTTAAGAATGATTATGGAAACTGGATGAAGACTACATGATATCTGTAGATCACTTTGGGTAGTATTGACACTTTTTCAGTGTTAAGTTTTCCTATCCATAAGCATGGCATTTTCTTCCATTTATGTTGGTCTCTTTTAGTTTCTAAAGCTCAGAAGGCAGGAAGGAATAGGAAAGAACGATGAATGGAAACAGGAAACAGAAGAGTGGGAAGCGTGCTCTTACATTGTGGTGATTGCAGTCAATATCATGAGACAAAATGTGTATTAATGGTTGAATAGAAAATCAATTTTCTCTGAAAACTTTCACCCAAATCACAAAAAAACGTTGAAAAAACTATATGAATATTGCCTTGGTTATCTAGTGCTGCTATAGCAGAACTACTACAAGTGGATGATTTTACCAAAGAGGAATTGATTCTCTTACAGTTTAGGAGGCTAGAAGTCTGAGTTGAGAGTGCCAGCTCTAGGGAAAGACTTTCCCTCTGTGTGTCTCTCATTCCTAGGAAGATCCCAGTGCAGGGACCCTAGGTCCAAAGGATGCACTCCACTTCTGGTTCCTCTTTCTTGGTAACAGTATGTCCCCTTTTGCTGCTTCCTTCTCTCTCCTTTTATTTCTTATAAGATAAAAAGTGTTGTAAGCCACACACCAGGGAAACTCCCCTTACATCAAATTACAGCTGTGAGGGGACTAAGGGTATTGCAACCTACCCTTAATCTTAATCCTTTTACACTTGATCAACTTATCACATGAGATCACATCATGTATATGATTATATATACACATGACATTCCACTCTTTGCCTCCCCCCCAAAAAAAATCTATATCCTTGCCACATGCTAAACACTTTCACCCCATCATATCATCCCAGAAGTCTTACATCAACTCCAAGTAAAAAATCCATCCTGGGACAAAATTCCTCTTCATCTGTGAGTTTAGAATACAAGTTATCTACTTCTGAAGTAAAGTGGTGGAATGGGCACAAGGTAGACATTTCGATTATAAATGGAAGAAATTGGAGAAAAAGAAGGAATAACAGCATCAAGCAAGTCAAAAAACCCAGTGGGACAACTTACATTAGCTCTCAAGTCTTAAAAATAATCCTCTATTCTTTGAGACCATCTAAGCAATAGCCCTATGCCCCAGACTCTGGGTGTTGGCCACACTCTCTGGATTCTGGGTGGTGGGCACTCAACCCTGGGCTTCAGCTCTGCCTTCCAGGCTCACTGGAGCAACTCTGCTTCCTGGCTTTGGGTAGCCTATTTCTCTTAGTCCAGTGACTGGCACCTTCACCACCTTGGCCTGGCAGGCCCCATTCTTCTGGTCCTTGATCATGGCAGTACCATCCCCTGAGCTTTGGGCAGCAGATATGGCCCCATCCCACCCCACACCCCATACTCATCCAGATGTGATCTGATGTGATAAATTGATCAGGTGTGAAAGGATTAAGATTAAGGGTGGGTTGCAATACCCTTATTCCCATCACAGTCCTTAGCCAATGTGAAGGGAGTTTTCCTGCGATATGCCTGTAACACCTTTTATCTTACAAGAGGTAAAAGAAGAGAGAAGGGATCAGAGAAGGGGGACCTAGTACCACCAAGAAAGAGGAGCCAGAAGTGGAGTGCATCCTTTGGACCCAGAGTTCCTGCACTGGGATCCTCCTAGGAACAAGAGACACACAGAGAGAAAGTCTTTCCCCAGAGCTGGCACTCTAAACTCAGACTTCTAGCCTCCTAAACTGTAAGAGAATAAATTTCTGTTTACTAAAGCCATCCATGGGAGCTCTGGTAGCATAGTGCATAAGGCACTTGACTACTAACCAGAAGGCTGGCGGTTCAAACCCACCAGCCACTCCTCGGAAG